GGGAGCGCGCGGCGGGGAGCGCGCGGCGGGGAGCGCGCGGCGGGGAGCGCGCGGCGGGGCGGCCTGGGACTGTCCGTGAGACGCGCGCGCGCTGGCTGACCGGCGGGCAGGCGGCCGGAGGGCTCTGGGTCGCAGTCCGGGTGGGCACCTGCGGTCCCCGGCGCGGGGGCTCCTTCCAGGTGAGTTTGGACTTTGCGATCCCCGACTGGGTCAGGGCGGCGGGCGGGCGCCCTGGCAGCCGGTGGCCTCGCCTGGCACGCCGGCGAGCGGAGCGGCGTTTGGAGTCTGTAGAGGGAGGCTTGGGCTCGGGTGGGTTTCGGATAGACAAGGGTGACCCGGCTCTCTGCACTTCCCACGCTTCCCTGGCGGCGCCCCGGTTGCGTGGATCTCTTCTTGCGCGCTACTCTCCTCCACATCGCTCGCCCAGCCTCCTGGAAGTTAGGAAAGACGCGTAATCCGAGGGACCGTCGTCGACCCGGTGGCCTCACCTACGGGGAAAACAGTGCCTTCTTTGGGATAGCAGGGGTTCGCGTGCGCCCCAGGTCGGAGGAGGTGGGGAGAACGCGGCGCTTTTCCGCTCCGAGGTTGTCCTGTTGGGGGGCGCGAGGCGGTCCAAGGCACGTTTTTAACTTGGGGCGCAGAGCGGTTACGGGTTGTCCCTCACACCCTTCCCCGGTCCCCACGGCCCTTCCCCGGAGTCGTTGGAGACTCGTCGCCGGCCTCGCCGCCGCGGCCCTCGAACTCCCGGGAGCTCTGCCCCTCACGTTGTGGACAGGAGGGTGGGAGCCTCTCATATTGACGGGAGGTAGCCAAAGCCACCTGTTAAACTTGGGTGCAAAGTGACCACTAGATTTGGGTCCCCACCCCCGCTCTTCCAACCCCCATCGCCAGCAGGTAGCTGAATCAAGTGGGAATGCGTAGGATCCGGGAGGGATTTAAAAAAAGAGAAGAAAATGTGACGCGATGTGATGCAGTTTAACAAAAGGCAATACAATAAACTCCAGTATTTCTCCAAGGCTTTGAAAGTTTCCCGGTATTGTTTTACGGAGTCTAAATTTAAGCATCTAACCTTTTTTTTTTTTTTTTTTTTTTTTAACCGCAGGAACTAACCTCAGAAAATTCTTAACTCTTTGCCAGGCAGGATAGTTGATACAGAGCAGAAAACTTAACAGTGAGTTAGGGAAAGGAGTTATTTTTGTGCCTTACCCCCGGCCCGGCCACCCTCCCAAACAGAGTAAAACAAACTTTCAGGTCTGTTGCAGGGAGACCATAGGAAGAAAAGTTTCTTCTGGCTCTAATTTTAATGGAGAACTTTTTTTTTAAATCTGTATTTCTGAAAGAAACAGAAATACCAAGCCAGGTGTAAGTATAAACTTGAGAAAGATGCTCACAGGAGAAGTGTTTATTAAAGATGCTTTTCTACTTTATTTTTTTAAAAGCCACTGCATACATAGGGCTCGAGCATGTACTAAAAAGTTAGCCCTCCGAGTTCCATGCCTGAATGTTACAGATTGTTTTTCTAGGTGGAGGAGGTATTTTCGTTGGTGAGGCCAATGTGGAAATACAAACAAATGCCCTGTTTACCTGGGATTGGGTGGGAAGGACGGAAGTTGTCTAAAATCTCTCTTGGCAAACTTGACAGTGTATGTATGGAATCTTGTGTATTTTCTTGCCCAGGCCAATAACAGCCACTTCTAAGTGACTGGATAGGTTCTTTGGTAACAGCATTTCAGATGAGCTTTTCTTTGAAAATTTTGGACGCTGATAATCTAAAAGCAACACATTTTCTCCATTACTAAAAATCAGGAAGCCAAAAATTGGAGTAACATTGGCTAGTAATAATTTAGAGAAGGCTGGAAAGATGAGAGAGGCTTTTAAAACAATTTGAGTGGGTCAGGCATGATGATGGCCTTAAGTGCAGACACCGAGTGCTCTTTAATTCATTCAGCGATATTTGAAGACTGACCACCTACACCATGCTGAGTACTGAGTTCGTCTTTTGGCACACAAGCATATCTAGGTAACAGCCATATGGCCCAAACTGATTAAAATCCAGATCAAGTAAGCCTTCATCAGGAGCTGAAGATACACCTGGCCCCAGTTCCAAAGTTCTCAGACACCTAAGGAGTCTATAGTTGGCACCCTGTGTTGATTCTAAAGATCATCTCAAATAACTAACTACATGAGGTAGAGTGGAGCCTTGAAGCCTGAAGGGAGAGAGAGGTGAAAGGTTTGGGTGGAGCAGAGCTAAGAGCAGGGGGGCCTCTGGAACAAAAGTTCAAGTGCATCTTATCTACATGTTTGTGGGACAGCCGCCAGGGACACGGAGGCCATTCGGGGGTAGGGGCCAGGGAATCCTAGGAGCATCCCAGAACTTGAGCTCTCTGCTTTGCCGAAGGGCAGCTTGCATTTCAGTTTCCATTGGTGGGAGTGCTGCTTCATAGCTGCCTGCATGCTCTAGGGAAGGATGTGTCCTGCCACCCTGCCTCTGACACACGGCAGCAACGTCCATGCCTCTCGAATCTTTGAATGCATCTGCTGGCCATTGCAGAGAAGCCTCTGTCCACACTGACACAGCAGGCTCAGTATCGTGGAATCACTGGTAGTAGCCTCCGTCTGTGGAGAGCCACAGTGCTGACCTTGTCCCCTTCTAGACTCACAGCATTAATACTGAAACCTATTTTAAGAAAGTAGGTGCTGGGTTTATAATCCGTGCAGCAAGCTTGGTAGCAAAGGAATGTGTAGGGCAGAACATTCCACCTTGTTGGAGAGAGATGCAGTCGTGCTTTATGAATGCATATCTTCAGACTGGATATTTCCAAAGATCCTAGCACTGTGAAGACTTGAATCTCCTTATTTTTTTTAAATTGTAGTTATATATAACATCAAATTTATCATTTTAGAGTGTACAAATCAGTAGCATTAAGTACATTCACATTCTACGTGCTTGAGAGTGTTTAATTTTTTTCTGTAGAGGTCTGCAGATATCCATTAAATGAAACGTATTAATTGAATTCTTCCTAACTTTGTGCCTACTAACCTGTCAATAATTGAGAGAGGTACAGATCATTCCCCACTTAATGATTTTTAGACTTTACAATGGTGTGAAAGTGGTATGCATTTAGTAGAAACCGTACTTGGGATTTTGAAGTTGGATCTTGTCCTGGGCTAGCGACGTGTGGTCAGTCCTCTCTTGGATGCTGGGCAGTGAGCCGCAGATCCCAGGCAGCCAGCGATCATGAGGGCGGACGACCCATCCTGACAACCGTTCTGCACCCATCACCGTTCTGTTCTTCAAGTGCAACATTCAGTACATTACATGGGATAATCAACACTTTATTATCAAATAGTTTTTGTATTAAAGGATTTTGCCCAACTGTAGGCTAATATGAGTGTTCTGAGTACATTTAAAGTAGGCTAGGCTAAGCTATGATGATCAGTAGGTTATGTGTATGAAATGCACTTTCAACCTAATATGGATTTATCGGGATATAACCCTATCATAAGTCAAGGAAGATCTGTACATTGAAAGATAACATTGAAATGGGGGATTTGTCACTATCTCCTTGTATTTGAGCTAGAAAATATTCTGAGACTTCGTGCATACAACTTTATGTGTGAATATCTGACAATGTGCATCTGTAAGTTTCTATTGGTAGATACACAGTGTCTAATAGGAATTGAGCTTTTGTTATTACAGTTACTTCCATCACTAATGAGGATTTTTGCCTTAAAATCTGTTGTGCCTGATGTAATATAGCCAGAAGTGACCCTTTTATTGTTGCTGTTGTGAATATTGGCTTGATGTTATCTTTTCCCATCATTATTTTCTTTTAAATGTCTTTCTTGAGGTATAGTCAGTAAACTGCACATATTTAAAGTGTTAAAAAGGGAAAAAAAGTACATTCACAATGTTGTGCAACCATCACCACTATCTAGTTCCAGAACTTTTTCATCACCCTGAAGGGAAACCCCATTCCCATTAAGGAGTCACTCCCCATTTCCTCCCACTCCAGCCTCTGGCAACCACTCGTCGGCTTTCTTTCTCTATGGATTTCCCTGTTCTGGATATTTCCATGTAAATGGAATCATGTAGCATGTGGTCCTTTGTGGCTGGCTTCTTTCACTTAGCAATGCTTTCAAGATTCATCCATGTGACAGCATGCATCAGTACTTCATTCCTTTTTTATTATTTATTTTGAAAGATTTTATTTATTTGAGACAGAAAGAGAGAGCGCGAGAGCACAAAAACAGGGTGGCGGGGCAGAGGCAGAGGGAGAAGCAGACTCCCCACTGAGCAGGGAGCCTGACCCAGGGCTCGATCCATCCTAGGACCC